AGTAGGATGCTTAGACTCTCAAACCGTACAGCGCTTCCTTCCTTTTACCACGGATGGATACTAGGGGATGACAGTAATAGCGGGGAAAAAAGAGCCTGTGAAATGCCTGTATATAGTATTTAATTTATTGTAACCAATTAATTTTTTTGTTTTGTTTTGTTCTGTTTCTTTCTTGTTTGGATTTTTTTTGTTGTTGTTTTGTTTTAATTGTTAAAATTGTTAAGTCACAAAATATAGATACTGGTTAAATTGCCTCACCCCCTCCCCTTTGCTCCCTCTTCTCCCTGCCCCTCCCCAGGTAAATACTCTTTCTAAATGCCTCTGGAAACATAGAGTGATCCATAGGTGTTGCAGCGAGTAATGGGTTTCTCACTTTCTCTGCAATTCCTCGCATGAAATAATTAAGTTGTGCCCTGGGCTGACAGCTAAGGAAAAACTGAGCTTTCCTTTCAAAAGAACATAACTATGTCTCGTAGGAAAGTCGATTAAAGTAGCATGACGCCTTCCAAAAGCAAAATCAGCTGCCTCCGTATTTTTCTTTAAAATAACGAGCTCGACATCACCAATATTATTATTTTCGTGGTATTCCCCTCCACCGCCCCCAAGTGCCAAATCCATTACTGGTCCCTGCAGGTGCCAAATATGCTGACAAACTCTTCTCAAATTTCTTTGCAGTTTCCCCCTCTTTCTTTATATTGCTGTAAATCTTTGTAATGAATAATCTAAAAAAAAAAAAAAAAAAAAAAAGCCAAAAAAAAAGAAAAAAAGAAAAAAAAGATATAGACGACTGAATTGTTGGTAACCATAGTGTAGTCCAGTGAAGATGAATTGTGAGTTGTATATTTTACTGCATTTAGTTTTGGAATTGACTTTTTCATAAAGTAGCTGACAGAGATCTGACTTCCTGGGGAACAAAATGCACATCGAAAGTAAGATCTGTGAGCCTCTTACTATATTCATGAAGGAGAACTGATAGCCCTCCGGGTCTCCCCCCTCCGGCGAAGCAGAATAGTAAGTCTTCGAATTTTGAGTAGCAAATCTATACAATTAACGCATTTTTGTATTGAAAATAAATTACAAACTCAAATATGCATCAGGCTAAGTATTCAGTCTAGATTACACTCGACGGGGAAATTTCCTAATAGAAATTCAGGGTCATAAACGTGTGTATATTTTTGACTCTTCTGTAAATCGAATGTTGTGATTTTTATATTTGTTCTGTTACGTCTGTGGAACTAAATAATTTATACCAGTACATGCTCCATTGAGAAATGTTTCGGTTTTTGCCCGTTTGTATCGTCTGTGTATAACAAGTAAAATAAACCTGGCAAAACGTTAACGTCGTGTGGGAAAGCACTTTGCCGTTTTGTAAGTACGGAATTAGGTGGGGACAAGGGAAGAGGAGCTGGGGGGGGGGGGGTCGCCCCTGTCCCAGCCTGCTGCCGGGTTCTCGTGTCCCGCCACTTTCCCTCCCCTCTGGACCTGTCCCTCTAGCCCAGCGTTTGTCTTTTTTTGGGGGGGTCGCGAGCGTAGGGGACAGTGCGTACAACGCGTGGCCAAGCGTGGAGGATTGCAGTAGGAGGAAGTGTCGGGACTGAGCGGTTTATAATTATCCCTGTATTTGACGTTTTAAAACCCTGAGAATATTTTGCAGGCGGAAGATGTGCCCGGCGGTGGTGGTGGGGGGGGCCGCCCTTGCTGGCGGAGCAGCGGCGAGGGGCGCCCGCAGGCTCCCCTTGCCCCGCATCGCCTCCCCGGGGCAGGGGGTGGGGGGGTAGCGCCCCCGCGGGCTGTGCCCCGCCGGGGCGGGTGCCCTTTCGGAGGAGCAGCCCTCGTGGCTGCGCAGGCTGACGCGGGAGCGGGGGCTCCTCTGCCTCTGCTCCGCTCCTGCGGCACCACCTCTCCCTTTGCCGACCTCCTCGTGATGCTGCCTTCCCCTTTAGCAGATCTGTGGGCTTTAGGAAAGGCGCCATCCCCCGACACCTGCGTGGGTTGCGGTGCGCAGGTGCTTGGGGTAAAAAGGCCAGGTTTATTCTTAATTCCACGGCGGGGGAAGCGCGGGTGCGG